TAAAGTAAGTTATATTCTATTATTTAATAAAAAAATACTTTTATAATTAATTTAATTTTTATTTTTATTATAATTATAGTCAATAATTAAGTGGAAATAAAATAAAAGGTAAATTTTATTTATTTTATTTTTATTTATTGATTTTTACAAAAAAATCATGATACTAATATTTAATTCTATTTCCATTTATGACAATAATCGCATTGATCCTCTGTGACATGCTATCAATTAATTTTTTGTAATATTTCAAAAGAATATCTTTTTAAGCATTTTTAACATATTTTCAAGCTCTTAGATATTAGATAGTAGGGGAGTATAATATCAAACTATCATTTTTATTTTTGCCCAAAAATTTTTAATTGGGTTTAAGTTTAAACTTTGGGCAGACTAAGGAAGTATCATAATTTTAGTACTTTCACAAGCAACTGCAACAACTTTTGAATGATATAGTATATAGCATTATCTTCTTGAAAAATTCTATTACTATGAGAAAAATACTTCTGCAAAGTAGAAATAACATATTTTTGAATAGTTTTAGCATATATTTTACCAGTAATTGAACCATTTATAGGAAAAATTGGTCCAAGTTCATTCCAAGAAAAACATCTTAAAACATTTTGCTTAAACTTTGTTTTACAGTAATTAAAATGCAATCAAAGTTTAATTCTTCTCCTGGTTCACATTATACTTTTCCTTGACGTTCTTGTTGAAATTATGTAAAAGTACTCTACTTTGAAAAAACACTTTTAATTAAAAATTAAAAATTTTAGCTTTTATAAAGAACATACTTTTATTATAAAATTTTCAAATCTTTGATTTCAAAAAGTTACTAATTAATATAATATTTTTTTGATTTTATTTATAAAATATCATAAATTTTATTATAAAATATTATTAGTTTAATAACCAATTTTCAATATATTTAAATTAACTTTAAAGTATAAGTAAAATTCCTTTTAAATTTGGAAGAAAAACTATTAATAGAATAGTAATGATGAATTTTTTTATAATGAAGATCTGATTAATATGAACATCAACTTTGTTATAATGAAATATGATTATATAACTATTATTTTGGATAATATTGTTATCTAAACTTATTAATTAAGTAGACTGAAATGTTCGGGTAAAGTTAGATTTAGCTCAACTTGAATTTGTGAAAGAGTTTTAAGTTTTTTAATATAAAATTTATTTGATTTGATAAGTTACACTTTCTTTTATAAATTAAGTTTCTAAGTTGATCAGTATAAGGACTGAATAACTTACGAGATTGTGAGAGATTTTATAATTTTTTATTCTGAATAAACTTTTATACTCTAAATATTTGAAATCATTAAAATATAAAAAAGTCTTGTCAATCATTTTTACTTTCAAAACCTTTGAGAAATTTTTGATAATAATTTTACATTTAAAATTTTTGAGATAATTTCAGTAATAACTTGTATATTTGAACATTTAAGATAATTTTAGTAATAACTTTTATACTTGAAACTCTTGAGATAACTTTGATAATAAGAAGTTTAAAGATTTTAAAGGTTATTTTATTAAGAAAATTTTTGTGAATTACATGGAATAAGATTTTTAGATCACACTTTAATCTAAAATCCAAGGATTCAAGTTTCTATTATATGATAAATTTTAAAGGTTACATTTTTATAATTTTTATAACTTATTTTTCCTATATTAAACTAAACTATTATACAATAATTCCTTTATTCTTGTAGTTTGTATTCTATTTAAATATTATTATCTAATTATTATATAATATTTCATAATATTCTAATATAAGGTCAGTGCTGAAAAAAGGTACCAAATTATAAAAAAAAACTTTTTTAAAAATAATTAAAGTTCTGGATTAAATGATAAAAATTGTATCTATTTTACTTAAAAATAAATTTTTAAAAATTTTTTCAATTTGTTACCTTTTCTCAGCACTCATCCCATATTTGCCTAATAATTAAATTATTTATTATTTGTATTATAATTAAGTAATTATTGCTTATTTATTATATATATATAATAAGAATATTTCTATCACTTTATTTATACAGTTATAAAGATCTTTATTTCTGAACTTATTTAGGATATCAAATCAGTTAAGTAATTTAAGTATCTGATTTGATATAAAAATGTTAAATAATTATAGCTTAATTATTGCACAATATTTTTTTTATTTTTATTTTTATTTTTTGATGATTATAACTTTTAGTTCTGTTATGCATTGCATTATTAAATATTTTTCTTTTATAAATTATTTGGGTAAATTTTATGTTGATCATATGTGTTGCGTTATGTATTGTAAGATTAGCAATCTGAATTTTTGATAATTATTAAAGGTAGAGTTATTTTTGATAAAAGCAAATATATCTAATTTATATAAAAGAAGTGATAAAATAGTTTTATATTTATAATTTTATTATGTGATAAATAAATACAGTTGAATCTTAATATAGCGAACTCTTAATATAATGAATTTTTAATATTTAACTAATCAAATAAATCAAATATATCTTATTATAATGAATCAGGTAATTAAATTCTTTAAAAAATTCATTATAATCTTATAATAAAGTTAAAATCCAGATTCTAAAATTTATTATATCAAGAGTTAACTATATTAAGTTAGAATAAGTTTCTGACTATTGATAAATTAATTTAGTATTAAAATTATATTAAACTTATTAGAAGTATTTTAATAATATTTTATCTTTTCTAATTAAAAATATTATTATAAAGACAATATCTTTATTTACAATTAAAATTCATCAAATATAATTTAATATATTTACTATAAGTTTTATCATAAATCTTAGATCTAGACTGATCAATATATTATAAAATGATCTTATTATAAAAAAAATTTGGAAAAAATTGAGATTTTAGATTCAGATTATAAAAATTTATAGGTTATATTATTTTAGATAAAACCTATTATCAATTTATTATAATAAAAGTCCTTATTATACATCTTATTAGAAAGATTTTAATTTAATACTATTAACTATGTAGATTAATAGGAGGTAAGTTAGAATTAATTGGGATATATTTAATTCTTAAAAAAGATTTATTATTAGTTATTAATTAGTAGGTTAGTAAAGGGCTAAAGATAATAGTTGCTTGATTAACAAGTAATAGCTTATTAAAAGACCAGATTTTAGGTTAATTGATTTGATAAACTATTAGTAAAATTAAAATTAAAATTATTATTTAGTTTTAAAATAGCATTTAGGATTTTAAAGTATAAAGTATATACTTTAATATTATAGTTAGATTTATATATTTAAAGTAAGGATTATTATTTGATTTTTTTTTAAAACATAATGAAATTAGATAGGTAATTAGTATCTTCATCTATGTAAAGGAACAGAAATAATCTTTGCTAATATTGGTAAAAGATGAATCTTATGAAATGTTTTTTATATAATTTACAAGTAGGAATTTTGTTTTTGAGAATATGATTGAAATTAGGAGGATAAAATGTTAATATTCAATATATCATATAAGTGATTGAGGATCATAAAATACTTTTTAAAATAGTATTCTAGAATTGATCATATAACCTTTGTAATACTAACAAAGTTAATTACAAATGGATTTAATCATTTTAATTTGAGTTTGGATTAAGAATTGAAGGTTATATGAGGTCAAGTTAAAAAATTCAGAATTTTATAATTGATGTTAAAAACGTAAATATTATTTATCATCTTTTCTTATAATAGGATGTTAAATCAAGATTAGAATAGAAAGAGTTCTTTTGAAGATAGATTTTTTTTCTAATAAATGTAAAAATTATAAAAAAGGTATTTAATCTAAAATTAACTATTGTAATTAATTATATTTTTATAAAGAATAAAGCTATACAACTTTATAGGATAAAAAATTTTTATATAGAATTTTAGTATTATGATAAAAATGATAAAAGAAAAATATTTAAATATAGAACGCGATAATTTTGATAAATAAAATTTATTATTTATGATGTCTATTTTTTTTTAAAAAAATAAGACTTAATAAATATTTTCTAATTTATATTCGTTGTCTTCTAATTACAAATGACAATATTAAGATGTATTCACGTCGTTTCAGAAATAGCATTAACATCAGTTTTTTCATCCCTTCCTACGTTAAATTTACGTTGTGGGATAACTTCCAAAAATGCTTTTTCCCAATCTTTATATTCTAACCAACGAATAAGAATTTCAAATACTAACAAAAAAAAAGACAGAACTCGTTAAATAAGATGAAATGTAAATAATACTAAATATTGTAATTAACGTACCATGGTTTACAGCCAAAACCTTTCGTGTACTCAATTGAACGTAATTTCCAATGGGTAATTGAGCTGAAGCAATATTATCTTTTTGAGACTTATTATAACATATACTCTAATATAAATGATTAAATTAAAATTAAATTTTTTTTTTTCAATTAAACATTATATTACAATATTGTCATAACATTAAACCTTGTGACGATTTTTATCCACTAATCCTCCTATTATATAAATTTTTTGTTCATCTAGTTCTTGTATACATTCATTCGAGTCTGCTGTCAAGTAAATTAATTCATCCTTATTAAAACAATCCAAGTAAGACCTAGATTCAAAAATCACGTTTTTCCAATTAACATAATTTTGTAATTTTGTGTTAAATCGTTCTTGAACGCGACCTCCGCATGAAGTAAAGTATAAATTAACAGGACGCGTCGCTGATCGATTGGCCGAATAGCAACGCGATAATTGTGAAGTTAGAGATGAAATTTCCTATTATGAGAAATAAATTTCAAGATATATCGGAAATTTCTTTTATATGCATAAATCATTTTGGTAAAAATAAAGTAAGTTACCACATCATTCATCAATTCGTCAAATGATAAATCAATAACAACTTTCATATCACTAGGTATTGATTCAACTTTAGGTTTCTTTGGTGGTGACTTTGAAAGGCCTATGAAAATTTACATTTGCAAATTCTAAGAATTAAAACTTTTAATCAATCAATTGAACTATAAAAATTGATAATAAACCTAGTTTAATGGCTTTCCTCTTTTCTTCCTTCTTCTTCCTATCTTTTTCCTTCCAAGCCGTTTTGCGTGCCTCACGTGTTTCTTCCCATTTTTGTTGTCTTCGAAGCCTTTTCAAGGCATTTTTGGATAAGTTTTGCTGAGGTTCTTCCTCTTGTTTTTTATCAATAGCTTCATTTAATAACCCGTTAGATAAATCCTTGTTGTTCTCTGAAATGGTGACTTTTGAATTATCTTCAATTTTATTATTTATTTCCTCGCTACTTTCCATTTTATTTTTTATGATATCTGAAATCCGAAAAACTTTAAATTGTAGATCTTGTTTCCGGTTACAAATCAGCATAACTTAGACCATATTTGTTTTTGTATCCAATTAACAATTTTTTTTTACAAAAAGGTAACATCAAATTCATTCATCAATTATAATTTCGTATAATACATGAATTTTTAATGAGCAATTAGTACATCCAGTGATATTTGCACCTTGCTCTAAATCATGTTCTGTTATAATATGATATCCACTACAACGACATGGTATAGAATAAGATTTTGTTTCTAAATAATGAATTACAAAAGATATATATCCCTTTATTAAAAATTCAACATAAAGAAATTCAACATAAAGAAAAGAAATCGGACCTTCGTTATATTCCATATCATCTAAATCAACTTCAGAATTATAAATTTCGTCTTGATTTAATCGTATCGCTTTACAAAATTTTATAAATGGGTGGGGGGTTTTTTTTTTATTCTAAACACAAGTTTGATAATCTAATTTACTTTAAACAATACCTTTTAATTCTTCATCATATACTTTCCTCAATTCTGGATCTTTAAGTATTTGCCATGCCTTGATAATGAGTTCAATTTTACGTTCATTATCATCATTATTTTTGATATTCTCTTCGATTTTTTTCATGATTGATCCTAATTTATCTGGATGATACTTATTTTCTTGTTAGTTTATAATTTTGATAAGAACTTTAATTTGTATGCTTTGTGAAAAAAATAAAATAAACCTACAATAAGTAATAATTTTTGATATTGTCGTTTAATTTGTTCAATTGATACATTTTCATCTGAAATTTCAAGAATTTCGTAATATGTTGGTGTAATTTCTTGACGAGTAAGTTGATTCATTGTACGGATGAACAACAAAAAAAAAACCCTGGTACAACACGATCTTGCATTAGATTTGATCTTATTTATTTGTTATCAAAATTTTCGTTTATTTTTTTAAACCATGTCTTCAACTTCGAATAATAATGCTACAAATTTAGAAAAAAAAGATCCAATTGAAGACAAATCGAAAGAACAAAAAAAATTTGATAAATGGAGAAAGAGTTTAATGTATTTTACTGGTTTAGGTTTATCAATAGAAGAAAAAAAAAACTTTGAAACTCAATTAAATAAAGATTTTCAAGAATTTCAATGTAAACGTTGTGAAAGATGGAGAGATAAATTAATGAATAATAGTAATTATCACCACACTTTGTTAAAAAAACCTTTACGTGCGTTAACTTTTTTTTTTGATTTTGCTCAGGTCCAATAGTAACCTTCATGTTGAAGTCCTTAGAAGAAGCGGGTTGTAAAATTGATAAGACACACTTACAATGTAAGCCATGCGATGAAACTCGTAGTGGTGGATTTTCTCCCGAACATGGAATACTTTTATGTCAAAATAGGTTTTTTAGTAAAAAACACCAAGAAGATACTATGGTACATGAAATGTTACATTTGTTTGATCATTGTAGATTTAATGTTGATTGGAATAATTGTTTACATCATGCTTGTAGCGAAATTAGAGCTGCTAGTCTTAGTGGTGATTGTAGGTGGACTCGTGAACTTCGTCGTGGATTTTTTAGTTTCACAAAACAGCATCAGGTTTTTTTCAACTTTTTATTTTAATCATCTTATACATGTATATGGTATTCCGTGTTAATAGTTTATTTAATCTTTCTTCTACAAAAAAAGGCTTGTGCAAAAAGACGCGCAATACTTTCTGTTCAACAAAATGATGCATGTTCTGCTCCTGGAGTAGCCGAACGTGCGGTTACTGAAGTATTTGAAAGTTGTTTCAATGATACAAGACCCTTTGATGAAATTTATTAAAAGGTTCTATGTTAAATAATTTCTTTTTTTTTTGGAATAAAAAAAAAAGAAAAAAAAAAAGGTAAAAAATGGTTGAAATAAGTTATAAAATACTGTACAAAAAAAAAAATCCCTGAATCATTATAGTTCACAATCTAAGAAAAAATTAATATGCTACAGTCTTCTTTTCTATTTCTAAGAATATAATAATTACTTATTGACTTTCTTATAAAACCTCTCGATCATTTTCATCGTTATCTATAGCATTTATCTCTGGTTCTTCTCGTTCTTCTTCTACTTCATGTCCTGATTCATGTTCTGATTCATGTTCTGATTCACGTTGATCTTCTAGTATATCCTCCTCTGTTTCATCGTCTTCCATTTCCAGTAGTTCTTCATCGACTTCCCCAACTGATGCCATTTCCTCCTCTTCTGGATTGTTTAACCTAGCTAATTCCATCAATGACTCTAATTCTCCGGTCTGCTCACATAAATTTCTAAACAAACTATCCATATTATTTATAAGACGATACGGTGTGTCAAATTCAACTATTTCACCTTCGTCTATTTAAAGAAAAAAAAAGGATTGGAAATGAAATAAACAAGTCGAATTACGTAAGGAAGAAAATATTAATATTGAATCCAAAACCTACTCAGAACAATAATTCGATCCGAATCTATAATGGTTTTAAAGCGATGTGAAATACATAGCACTGTGGCATTAGTAAATTCGTTCTTTATAGTTTCCTGTATTTTATTTTCTGTTTCTGGATCAATGCTGGCAGTTGCTATAATAAAAATTATGAAATTAAAATTGTATAATTGATATTTAATAATTAACAAATTAATATCTTTTATGCATTAACATACCCTCATCCATGATAATTATCTATTCAAATCCATTAAATTACAAAATTAATTATTTCAACTCGATTGTTATTTATTCATAATAAACCACATATTCATACCTTGGACTGTCGTAGTAAAGCTCTAGCTAAACAAAGTAATTGTCTTTGGCCTCTAGAAAAATTATTACCACCCTCATTTACAGGATCTTCTAAGCTCGTTATTGGTCCAACGACGATAACTTGATCGTTTGTCAAACCTTCTTCAAAGTGTACAAGATGAACTCTTCTCAATGCTTCCCATAAGTCTTGATCATCATATTCACATCGAATATCCAAATTCGAGCGAATAGTTCCCTCAAATAGAATGGGATCTAACGAGATATATATATTTTATACATATATTTGTGATACATTCTGGGAATTGTAATACGTACCTTGAGATATAATAGTTAACCGCGATCTTAAATCCTCTAAACCCAAATTAGAAATATCTAAACCATCGATAATGATGTATCCTTCAGTCGCTTCAGTCAGACGAAGGAATGAATTAGCCAGTGTCGTTTTACCGGACCCCGTTCTACATTTATATATAACCTTTGTTAGAAAAGAATAATTCCGCACATTACGAAATTCATATGCTTAAGAAATTAATGCTTTAATACCTTCCAACGATTCCTATTTTTTCTTCTTCATTTACGGTAAATGAAATATCTCGAAGTACAGGTTCGAATTGTGGCGAGTATTGTACTGTTAGGTTTGAAACTTCAATTTTACCATTGGTCGGCCACTATAATTGACTAATGTTAGAAATAATAAACCCAATTCTAAATAACTAAATTAAATTTATACTTTACTGCAGCTGGAGGATGCGCGTTATCAATAACGGCAGGTGGTTCTTGTGGCATTTCAATATATTCTTTAATACGTTCCACGCTAATAAATTGATAATGCTAATTAATTAACAAGAATAAGTTGGACTAATACATTTTAAGATAATAAAAATAAGAGTTTACAGTGCTTTACCTACTCAAACTTGTTTCCATAATAGTATAATCTTTAACGAGCATCTTTTACGAATAATAAAAAATGTTATTATTATGATTATTATTAAAACGTTATTTGTTGCAACATTGAAACTTGTGCAAAACGAAACTTACAAATACAATTTGTACGAAGCCAAGTGCATAGCTTAAACAGAAACCAGCCAACCCAGCACCAATGCGATCATAGTGACGAAGAATGAATATTCCTGCCAAATATGATGCAAAGGCTCCAATACTACCCATACGAATTGACATCCATCTATTAGACATATGTAAGAGATATGTCGTTCTATTGGATGTATTGAGTCTAAAAATTATACATATGTTATATGAATTCAATCAAAATTTTTTATTTTCATTATATCTTTATAATAATAATAATAATAACCTTTCAATAAACTTTTTAACATATCGTTGCTCAGCATTGAATGCTCGGATAGTCGTAATACCTCTACATGAAAATTGAAACAAGCATTATAAATAAAATATTGTTCTTTATTCATTTTTAAAATATCATGAATAAGAGATGCTCACGCTATCGTTTCAGTATACCACGATAAAACAGGAGATCGCGTAATTGACTGAAGTCTTTTTAATTCTCGAGAAACATTAATGTACATGCTTCCAATGATCAGATATAAAATGACTATAAAGTTAATAATAAAATTTTGCTAATCGTTAACTAATTTCCCAAAATAATAATAAATAATAAAGAATAAATATAATCACTTACTAACAACAATAGAGACGAAGAAGAATTCACGTGTTACAACTGTGACAACAACAAGAACACTAATTGCACCTATAGCATTTCCAATAAAACTTGATATGACAGTTACAAGACCTTGATCAATCATTCCTAAATCTTTTGAAAACCTATTCATTACCCTGCCTAACGGAGCGGTATCAAAAAAGCTCAAAGGTGCCCTAAGTATAGCATTTAGGAGCTTTGAAAATAAAGTCTTTGAACCTTTAAGGGAAACAAAAAAGAATTGCCACGCCATACGAATAATCGTAAAAAAGGCGGATGCTAAAGCTATAAGAGCATATATCTGGATGTAATATCTCTGTGGTTTTTCGTCAGCCTCTGACCATTCTTTTAACCAATAGGTTTCACCTACCGTTAAAAGTCGTATGATTATAAATAGAATGATAAGTGTAAACCATAGTATTATTCCACCACTAGATTTAAAAAAAAAGTAGTAAACTCCAGGTTGAATCTTTCCTTGGAAACGAGCTATGTACAAACAAAATATTTAATTAACAAAATATTTACTTATTAATAGTATTAAAAAATAATAACTTATTTAACCTTCTTCAACCGCCCAATTTTTTTTGTCAGCAACTGATTTCTCTATCGCCTGATTTACAAGATTTTGATCATTTTTATCTATATGTTCTGGTTCCGTTTTAATTTCTTTGCCGAGCACTTCTTCAGTGAGCGAACCAGCTTCACGCAAATCTTTTGGAGAACCTTTTGCCTGAACTAATCCATCTCCAAGAATAGCAATATAAGCTGCATTATCCACAAAATATCTCACGTAATTAGTTACCATTATTACAGTCCGACCATGAATCAACGGACCTTTAAAGCAATTATTGATAATTTGATGTGCTACAAAAACAAAATCATTGTAATACATAAGTACATAATAAAGATCAAAACGATTAAATTAAATAAATAACTTTCATAAACCTGTATTCTTGTCCAAGGAGGATAAACAATCATCAACAAGTAAAATATCAGCTGAACTATACAAAGCTCGAGCAAGTGCTATACGAACCTTCTGTTCGTCAGAGAGAACCATATTTTTTTCATCGTACTTTTTTTATATTACGATAGGTATTTAGGTTAGTTACATCATTTACAAATCATAATAATTATAAGTAAACTCGAACCTCTGTGAAATCAGCTTGATCAAAATTTTCAAAGTCATTTGTTAAGCAGCAAGAATCAACAATTTTCCAGTACCGTTCATCATTAAAAGGTTCACCAAATAAGATATTATCTCTAAAAGTTGTGTTTTCCAACCATGCTTGCTGAGGAACATACGTAATAGATGAGGAAGGAAAAAGAATTTTTCCTCGTAGAATAAAAGTTTCACGAAGAAGCGAAAGCAAGAGAAGAGATTTTCCTGATGATTTTTGTCCACCTTTTTTTTTGTTTCCATGAAAGTAATAAATCAATCTATCATATAATATAACCAAAATCAAAGGAAAAAAAAAATCCACCCATACATACAGACAAGGCTAAGTTTTTCCAAAGGAAATTCTAAATTAACACCTCTTAATATAAATTCATTTTGATCTCTAATATTTATATGATAATTCCAAGCAACATCAACGTTACTAAACCCAACGGAAGTCCTTGTAGGATTTATGCTGAAACCTGCGCCTCCCCTTTGTACATCAGGTTCATGTAAAAACTTTTCCACTCTCCCTATAGCTACACCCAAGCTTACAAGTTCAACGACCAAATTAGGGAATATCTGTAAAGGCTGTTTAAGTGTATTGAACAATGTTATACTTGTAAAAGCAATAGCGGCGGTCAGGGGATATTTATCATTGTCTGTTTTTGTGAAATAAGTGAAAGAAGCAAAAGCAAATAATGTTACGAGGAAAGGTGTTAAGTGAACAAGTAATGTAAGCATCGTGGTGCGACAAAACAAACTTCGTAAATAAGTAAGCTCTCTTTTGCGAGATACTAATAATAATGTCAAAAATTCAATGATAAATAAATAGTTTATAGACAGAATTGTTGATTAAAAAATTTGATAATTACACATTAGTCTTTCATGAAAGCTACTCTCCCATGCAAACATTTTAATCATTCGAACTGCATGGAGAAGCTATAAATGTTTGAAGATTAGAAAAAAAACTTTTAAAATAATTAATGATTTATAAATAGTTACACATGAATGTCTACCTCAAAGATTTCACCGACCCTATCATCTCTCGCCTTTTTTACCCGTTTTTGCAATCTTGTTACGCGTCTTCCAAATCTTTTATTGCTCCAAAGACACAAAATCATTACACCAACACCAACTAAACTAGGCCAGCCCAACAATCGAAACAAAAAAACCATAGCAGCCAAAATTTCGAGGGGTATTGTAATTATAAAAGGTAGATTTGAGAAAAAACCGGCAATATCATCGACATCTGCTGTGAGCACATTGTTTGGTCTATTACTTGCAGCTCTAGGAGACGTCTTCAAACGTAATTGTTTTTCATATATCAATACACTAAGCATTTGTTCCACTCTAATCCCAAGCCATACCACTTGATAATTCAATTGATTTAAGAAAATAATTCTAAAGAGTTCGGATATTAAAATCCCAAATACATAAATATAAGGTTCTTCCGAATATTGTTGCGGAGGATCTGATAGATACTTTAACAAATGATATAAAAAGAGAGGAGTAGTAAAAGCAAAGATTGATCGGAATATTGCGATAATAAGGAAAAAAACTAAGTTTGTAGCGTTGGCAACAAGTAACCGTGATAAAAGATCCATATTAGTTATTCTAAAAGAAATGAATAAGCGCATTAACGATAGATAAAAATTTAATTTAATAATAATGATGCTTAAATTTCGAAAAAAACGTCCCACCTTTCTAATTCATGATAACATTGAGACGCCTGGCACCTTGATGGCAATTCCCATAAATCTTCCTCAATGAGAACACGTCTATTCCCTAATTTGATAATCGGTGTCATCCATGAAAAAGATAATAATGACCATAGGGAAGCAATGGTATCATGAGATATTACTCGGTTTCTCGCATATTTCAACTCTGGATTTCTTGGTCTTTTAAGAGAGCAAGCTAATAATATACTACAAGCAATAACGTTCCATATTGAAAAAACTAATTCAAAACCTTTCGGTTCATGTTTGAGCATTGATCGAAGATTAATGAACGCAACTATTACAAAATACGCGTAAAACAAAAGAAGATGTCTTAAATATGCATGTTGAGTCTGATTTCTTCGTGTCATAAAATGACACGCTATCAATGCACCAATATATAACTATTATTGTTATGAAGGATAATAATTAATGATGAAATGATAAGTGACATTTAACAGTAGAATGATCAAACTCTTCAAATGACACATAATTCAAAATATACTTACCCAGGAAAAAAATTGACCTATAGCACCAATCACTAAATATAGTCCAGCATAGCCCTCATCATCCATCCGCCAGCCAAATAGAAATCCAATAAATCCCAAATGAAAAAAAGAAATAATAATTTGGGCAATGTCATATTTCGAAACTGGTATATATCCATATTCATTTGATGCGGCCGGATCATTTTCTGGTAAAGGAGCATAATAACTTCGACTAGTTGTTCGTCCACAACATCGACGAACTATTAAGTTTGATATAGACAATATGATAATACATATAGGAATGGCAGCATTAAGAATGCTGAAAAACAAATTCTTTTAGTAAAAAAAAAAGCAGCAGCATATAATTACATCTTAGACAGGTCTAATAATCGTTTTAGTAACATTAAACTTACACTTCTCGAGCGCATGGAGTGAGTTCAAGGCCATCTTTGGTTGTCGGACCCTATCCACATAAATAAGTAATATATTTTGAATTCTTAAAACTCGTACGCGTAAGTTGTTATTTCAAAGTTATTCTCACCCATTCACCAGAGCCACATAGACCCTCATTGCTTCTCAACATGGCAAAAACTTGAATTCTTGATTTTAAATCATAAAAAAGCATAAGACAAAGAACAATATAAAAAGCACTAGAGACTGAACCGATTGATAGATAATCGCGTCTCCAAAATACTGCACTAAGTGCATTAGATTGTTAGTTAAATAGGTAAATAGTATTGGCTAAAGATTATCCAATTAGAATTTTTGATGCTATACTTTTGATGACATCAATGAATGCATATAGGCGGTGAATTCGCTTAAAAGAGCAAAAAAAAATTCATGCGTCACAATAATAAGATCCTAAAATCTAATCACTCTTTACAAAAATGAATTTTACCGTGCCATTTGAAAACGAGACCTCATTCTTTAAAATTTTTCCTTGTCTATTACCTAGGAAACTTTTTTTTTGCTTGGTAAATATTGTGATAAAAATGATAAAATTCAACTAACATGGTTCGTTGTGAAATTAATTAAATATCTGAATTTTAAATATTTGCAAAATCTTTATTATGTTTTTGATAGTGATAATTATTTATTGTAATAGCCAAACCATTTGATGAAATTTTGGTATTTTTGTTAATCTGAACCATCTTACTTAAACCGAGATATTGGTAATGGTCAGAATTTTTTTATTATTCGGTCTCGATTTAAGTGTAATTATATTATATAATTATTATGTCTTAATATAGTTCTTCTGATTTTGTATCATGTTCAAGTAGTATCTAAAATTGTATATAAAAGATCAACATCCAAAATTAGATAATATCGTTTTGTTTTTACGAAAGGAATTGCACATGGCACACTCAACTTCTAGCGATAAAAAACTTAATGCTGACACGGAGATCTCAATTATGTCAACAATAACGTTACCTTCATTTCCTGAAAATGAAACCAATTCACATTCATTTTATAATTGCATCTTTAATAAGATTGCTAACTTTCTTTTATATAATACTCGGTTTCACCTTCCGACAGAACGTACATATAAATTTTTGGAAATTGAATTTTATTTAAATGATGTTACAAATGATCACAACGATCCATATTCTCATGGGCATGAGCAACAATTGATTTGTGGAGAATGGTATTTTCATCATGTTGGGAAGAATGGATATCGAGGAGGATCAAGAAAAGGTATTGATATCACATTTGGTTCGATAGAACGAAAAATATATGGAGGGATATTGATCCGAGCCATTCAAGATGAATTAACTAATGAAGTTATAGAGGGACCAAGTCTTATAGTTGACAAAATTCTTGAAACATGTGGTGTAAATCAACAGGGTGGAATTCGAGAAATGGTAGAAGTTGTGTGGAAAGGAAAAAGTGGAATTTTACGTGATACGAATAATTCTACCGGATTTGTTTATTTGACACAAATAAATGAGGATTGGACAGATGATGACATTGTTGGAAGAGACAAGAAAAGGTTAAGATATTCAACAGGTCTCACCTCTCCGTATTTTCAACAGAAGTCACGAAAAAAATCTTTTGATACGCGATTAAAAAGAAATAATAATGCTAGTGAGAAAATATATAATTCACCTCGAGTCGGAATTACTTTATCCAATGAAATGCCATCAACTAATCTTCGTTTACAGTATTTACTAAAACCTTATAGATTCTTTATTTTACCACATCTTCTTAAAAAAGGAAAAGCTCAACTTGTTATTGGAATGTATGATCATTTTAAAGAAATTAACAAAGTAGCAGAAGTGGCAGATGTTAGTCGATCTCAAGTCGAAAAATACATTCAAGAATTGAAGAATGGATTCAAAGATGGAAATCTTGATGAATTCATTGGAAAAAAAGGAAAGGGTTTAAATGGGATTGAATATTGTCGAATGGCTGGAGCAGTGAGAAAATGGGAACAGAATAAATATGGTTGATAATAAATTCATCAATAATTTTACAGCTTAAACTACCTTTATTACTTCTGAAGTTCAGATTAAATATCATATTTCATATAAAAATAATAAAAAATAATTGTATTATAATTATTATTCTATAAAATAAGAAATTTGATTTTAATGATTTATTTTTTTTTGCTTTTTAAAAAAAGTATTATTATTAATATTAATCAAATTAAATTGTATTTGTAAAATATATACATTTTAAAAAAATTATAAGAAAATTACTTGTAATTACCAGGTGGTTATGAATACTTGATAATATGATAATAATCTGTTACATAGCATTACGCTTACCATGTTTCATTTTTTACTATTTAATATGAAATCTTTGTTTTTTTAGAATGTAAAAACCTATTTGTCACTTATTATTTGTCACAGATGCCACCCTTAACACCAAGGTTACTTGTTTAAACTCAATTTTTAATTTGGCTAAACATCTAAATCTTTAGTTTTACTTTGTTTTTTTATAAGTTTATCTATAATTTTACCTTTTTTTTAATTTTGCAGATTTTTTAAATATTTATTAAACTCTAGATTTTGTCTAACAATCTTAGACATGATATTAGGGTTTATTATAATAAGTAATTAAAATAATAGATCATGATTTTTACTTTGTTACATTATATGCCAAATCTGCCTGATATATTAAATATATTATATATACTAAATATGTAAAAAATAGCAGATATACAATATTTTATATTTTTATTTATTATTTTTAATTATCAAATTTCTTATAAATAAAATAGCTTTAGAACTTCATTAATAACATGGATCTTTAATAATAATTTACTTCGGTTTTATCAATAACAAGATATTTACTAAATACACTTGTATTAAAAATAAACTATACTTATAGCAAATTATTTCCTTAATAAAATTTTAATCATTTAAACTATATTTATACTTTAATTTCAAATTATATCCATAACTGTATTAACTTTCAAAGCTTTTCATATATATTTATTCTATAAATTTCAAAGTTAAATCCTTTATTAATCTAGTATTAATACTAATTTTAGTCATTAGTATTATAGGATAATGATATGAAAGCTTGTTAATAGAAAGGAAGAAAATCTAAAAGAAAAAGTTTTTATGAATTAATGTTAAATCTGGACTTATTTTACTAAAAAATTATATTTAACATAAAAACTAAATTTTAAATTTCCTCCTTTTCTATTGATAAGCTCCCATATAAAGTAATCATAACTACTGGTTAAAAAATATTCTATTTATACAAAATTAATTTGTTATAACTAATTAATTACTATACTATAAGCTAATTAAATTTGTAATTATAAGTGCTAATATAAACGATATAATAAATATAATACATATAAGTAAAAAATAATTATAACAGATTTAATAAATATAAAAATATAAAATATTTAAAATAATAAAAATAAGCAAAATCAGAAATATCAGCATATTAGACTGATTTGTAAGATCAAAGAAATCAAGATGTTGATATTACTATTTATTAATGATGTAGTTCAAAACCTATTTTAATATATAATTTAAAAATTTAGATAATTAAACTTAATTAAATTTAGAAAAATCTATTAGAAGTTTGGATAAAAATATTTATTATAAACAAATGCTTTAATCTCAAATATTTCAAAACTTAAATTTTCTAAAATAGTTTAAGGAAGTATTATATTATTATTCTATAGGTTATTAATAATAAGCGTAATAAGATTAAATTTCTTTTATTAATACTATTTATATGTTCATAAAGTTGATATATATTACCAATCTCACTAGAAGTAAAACACTTTACATTATAATATTATTCTACCTAATTTTTAAACTTAATCTATTTTAACATAAAATTTATTTTAATATACTTTTAATAACTTCAATTTGATCTTCAATTTTTAGCTTTTTTAAATTGCAATTATATTTATATATTTTTCTAATAAAATAAGCTATAAAAATTTTCTTTTATTTTGACCTATTAGATATCTTGAATATTCAGATTTTAGCTAGTTTTCAAAGATACTATTGGTATTTTTTTATTACTTAATTCTTATTACTATTAATTAAGAATTGTTTCTTTAGATATAATATAATAAAAAAAATATTTTTTTTCAAATAAAGTAAAATTAAAAAGAACAAAGGATATCTAAAGATATCCTTTATATTTATTATATGAATATTTTGACTAAAAAAATAGATATTAAATAGATTGATATTTATTTAAAAAATGATCAAAAATAAATATATTATCAAATTTGTATATTTTTATATTTTGTGAAAGAAAACATTAATTTACCTAAAAAAAGATTATATAAATTGATAAAATATAGTATGATAAACTTAGCATCTTTTTAATTATAATATATTATTAAAATATATATAGTGAATTCTTAATATAACGAATTCTAGGATCTGGATATCAATTTCATTATAAGCTTATAACGAATTTTTTACAGAATTTAATTAGCTAGTTTACTATAGTAAGGTAATTTTAATATATTTGATTTAAAAATTCGCTATATCAAGGGTTTGATATATCAAGGTTTGACTGTAAATCAAAATGGAAGTTCTGGGACAAAATTTCATAATAGCTGTATAATTAGTAAGCCTCTGCCTAAGTGTAAAACAGTATACAAATTTTTATGAAATCTATGTTATACTCTAAATTACCTTACAAGACCAGAAAACATATCAAGAATCTATAATGAATTCATATTTTAAAACGAGTTAAGTGTAAATCCTATTAACTTATCTTTTTACCTATATTTTTTAGCTTTTAAGATAAAGGAGTATATCATCTTTGTTAACGTACTAGCCTATTTTTAATCACAAATTATATAACGAAAAATATATGCTATTCTGTTTATCCTAGAAATGAGTATAGAACATTGAGAACTGAAGTGTACAAATATGTTCTATATGAGTTTCTGCAAACTCAATAAACATATCTAAGTTTCATGTTATCATAGAATTAATTCTAAAGCTGATTCATTATCAAATAGTAAAGGTCAAAAGTCTACCCAAAAAAAATTCGCCTAGCTAAGTCTATTCAAAAAAATCTAACCAAAAGTTATTATTTATTCTGAGTTTTTTAAGGCCTTATCACATAATCTGTTATAGTATTAGATCA